AAACCAATTTCCTGAAGTGTTGAGATGGGAGGGGAGTTAAAGAAAATGTCTACTAATTGGAGAATATGTTCATTTTTTTGGGGAGTTCTTAAGATCTCTTCAATTATATTGCTTAGGCGATACTGTTAGGATTTGAAGGGTTGGAGAGGACCCATAAGGAGGAAGCTTCTGAGCTTGTGAAGTTTATTATACAAGAGCCAGCACTTGGGATATCAGCTAGGTAACTGTCACATTTGATAAGAAAATTGTTGTTATCTATGTTGAAGTGTCTTCCTTTAAGATGGGGATTTTCCTGAATATGGTAACGTCTTTTGTAAATTTTGACAATATTATTAGTGTTGTAAATAAGTTTTTTAATTTTTAATTATTTATTATTAAAATTTTTATTAATATAAAATTTGTATACAAATTTATAAATAATAGTTGTTTTAATATAAAATAAATTAATTTAAATAAATTTGTTTATTTTTATTTAAATAAATAATTTTATTTAATTTAACTAAATAATTAATAAATATAAATTAATAAAAAAACAAATTGATTTTGATTTTTTGTAATTTTAAAAAATATATTTAAACAATGTTTTTAAATTCAATACTTGAAAAAAAATAAAAATATATCATAATAATTTTTTTTATACAATTAAAAAATAAATAAAAATTTTGAACTTAAATAGATTTTAACTAGAAGTTTTATTTTATTGCATTAGTTATTTTTAATTAAACCAGAATTTATTTTGCAATATAGAGTACAAATTTTTTTTTTTAAATTATAACTTACTATAAATAAAAAATTATAAAAAAAAATTTTTTTTTTAATATACTAATCAAAATATATTAATAATATAAATTATAATATAAAATAATCTTAATTAATAAATTTAAAAAACAAATTTATAAATATTTAATAAAACATTTAATATTAAATTATTTATTTAAAAAAAATTATAAACATCATATACTATATATTATTTTTAAGTATTTTAGTAAATTTATTATTTTTTTAAGTAATATACAGTAGTTAAAATTACGTATTATAAATATGTAAGCAATACAGTATATACATATACAGTATAAATAATATTTTTTAATTAAACATTATCATATTATTAAACAAAAAATATTAATTTAACAATTTATAATAAAGTAATAAAAAATATTTTGATTGTTGATTTTAAAATCATGATTAATTCATCTTGGATATTCAATGAAATATGTAAGTTTCATAATTCACAAACAATTATAAATTTGAACAAAATTTTATTTTATTTTTTAAAATAAATCTCAATTATTTTTGGTTTTTTTAAAAAAACTATTAGGTCATAAAAATTTTAATTATTTAAATAATAATTCATTAAAGCCATTAATGCATGTTTTTATTCGAATCTAAATTTTTTCAGATTTAAAATTATTTTTTTTATATTATATAATATAGCGACAGGTAATAATAAAAATATACGAGTTTTTTTTATTTCTAAGCAGATTTGAGTTATTAATAAGGTTTGGCGATCAGTATTCTTTTTTGGCGTTTGCGTCTTAAATTGCTAAGCTATTTTTGCTTTCTTTTATTGTATATTTTCCCGATCTTTCGAATCAGATTTATATTGTCTATCGGCGTTTCCATTATTGGCAGGTTTTGTACCGGTGAATAAAACTTTCATCTTCAACAGATTTTTCAGGTACCACGGAAATAATTTGCTTTTTTCCTAGCCTTGATAAAACAGCATTGTCCGCAGATTTAAAATGCTTGAGTAGATGGAAGGATTCTAGCAAATTAAAATTCGTATCAAAGTCTTCGGATTGCTACTTATCAATACAAAACCTGACAGGTTCTTTATTTAATTGACTATAAGATGACTTTATAGTATAGGTTTTCTTTAATAAGCTTGCTTTTTCATAGTAAAATTCTCTGTAGTATTGGTATTTTGCTTTCATAAATTCGGAGTCTGCAATGTCTATGGTATGACCATATCTGATGCATCTACGATTCCTTAATCCAAATAATTTCTGTAACATGCTACTGCAGGCTGAAAGTTGATTATTCAGAAAAAACATGGACTAGTGTAGTGATTAGTGATCATTCACTGAAATATAAAATTCCAAATTTGAAATTACTTTATCTGACGGTGAGAATATTCCTTGGACGCCGAATAGACGTATCCCTACGAATGATGCTTCTTTCTTTCGTGCAAATACACAATCGCTCTTGTGATAGGCTTGGCTATGTATAATTTTCATTTTTACTTAACAAATTAAAGTTATTTCCATCTGCATCTATATTACTAAATCGCTAACCCGTCCTTTTTAAGCAATTTTATTGGTTCCCAGATTGTTAGTAAAAAATAACTGTATTCGGTTCCGTTAAATAAAATGATTTACGTGTTTGAGATCTTAACTTTTACACATAATTTGTATGCATTGTTGCATAAAGTCGTAAGCAATAACACAATATTCTATACTTAGTTATATGAATTGATAATAAATCAATAATGTTAAGATTAAATCACCTATTCCTTTTTTTTTTTCGCCATAATTAGTTATATCAGCATACACTCTAGGAATGTGTGAACACACAAGGGATCAACACTATTCTGTTTATAGTTTAACAAATTTTTTATCAATCACGTAAGCCTGATTATTCCTGTAATTCCAAAGTGATTATAAATAGGGCTATAAATTGTTTACGAAAGATTTTTTATCAAGAGGAAAGACAAAAAGAAAAAATGACCATCAAGCTTATAGGATTTAATGCCTCACCTAACACTCTTCGTGTGCTTTATGTGCTTAAGGAATTGGAAATTCCGTATGAGTATGAGGTTCCAAGTAACTTCGCTCACATCAAGTCACCAGAATTTTTAAAGATGAACCCTTTGTATGTGTTCTTTCTTGCTAATTATATCGTAAATCAAAGTTTAACCAAATTTTATACATTTTTATTATTAAATACAGTGGACGAGTTCCGGTTCTCATTGACGGTGACTTTACAATCTACGAATCTCGCCCTATCTGTCACTATTTAATTAGGGAATACCATGGCAAATACAACTCTACCCTCTTGATACCCAGTGATATCCGTAAAGCTTCACTTGTCGGTCAATACCTATCAACCGAGACATGCGACTATACCATTCCCGTGGGAAAAATTGTTATGCAAGAAGTAATTTCCAGGCTTTACGGAGGCAGTCCAGATCCAGAAAAAGTTAAGGAAGCTCGCGTGGAAGTTGAAAAGGTGTTGGACATTTATGAGAAAATATTAGAAGGGAAAGATTATTTAGTTGGTGAATTTTCTTTTGCCGACATTTCTCACTGCCCAGGTAGCTATTTAGCTGCTGTTAAAGGGGGTCATAAAGATTTGTGGGATGCGAGACCCAATGTTAAGAGATGGATTGAAAACCTGTTCGCGCGTGATGCTTGGAAGAAGACTCTAGAAGAAACCGGTAATAATTAATTAAGATCAATAGGCTTTTTGTAATTTATTTAGCTGTCTGAAAATTTTTGTGAAGTTATTATTATTCCACGGTTCATTAAAATCATTGTCAATATTTTAAAAATTGAAATATGTATTATATATAGTGAATTGGGTATTCACGGTTCGTATGTCTCTATCTTGGAGTAATCGCTCACATTTAATGACTTGAAATGTCAATCAATAAATTCGAAAAACATAAACCATTCTATTTAAATTTTTATATGCGGTAATCAGTTTCTATTTTGAGTCAATATAAACCTTTTTTTTTTTCCTAAGAAATCATTAATTAATGTATTTTATCATAAACATCAATCAAAATTATTCATTATTATTTATTAATTAAAAGTTTTTGTAATTAAAAATTTATTTAAAAAGTCATTTAAATTTAAACAATTTCTTTTTATCTGAATTAACCATGATTTTTTAAATGTTTTTAAATATAAAATGTAATAAAAAAAATTATGTATATATTATTATATGTAAGATTAAATTTTTATTAAAAACTATATGAATGTTTTTTTATAATACAATATATTATTATTATTTTTTAATAATAAATAAGTTAATATGATTTTTTTTATTTTAGAAACATTATTTTTTATTGTTATCAAAATATATAAACATAATATAAAATACTCTAATACTGTTAAAAAAATATTTAAAAAACATTCAACTTATTAAACAAACTGTTTTATTATTATTATTATTAATTTTTTATATCAAGTTATTTTTAAATAAATTATAAATCAATAATTTAAATATAGTATACAGTGGTATCCAAAATTTTTTTAAAAAATTTTTTTAAAAAATAAAAATTGTATTATTATTTAATAAATATTAATTTAAAAAATATATAAAAATTAAATATAAATCTTTTAGT